ACGCGTCGTCGAGGCGATTCGCGTTGTTTACAGGATGTTGCGGTTTGTTACGTCGCCTTAGGTGTGTCTGTTTTCATAATGTCGCGATTTGATGCGTCGTCGAGGCGATTCGCGTCTGAGCGTTTTCCGCGGGATTTACTAGCGCGTCCTGTTTCGCGGGATGCCGCGGTTTGTTACGTCGCCTTAGGTGTGTTTCATGTCTAGGTATCTATGAGGATATAGCGCGTGCCGCTTGTCCTGTTTTGTAGAACGTTGCGGTTTGACGTCGTCGAGGTGATTCTTTTGAGCGATACTTGTCGCCGTGTGTTTACGGTGACGAGAACCGTTAAAGTAGCGAATCGATGCCAGCTATGTGAGACACGAATGATCGACGATGATGAAATGTGTTGGTGCCATTCGCTGGATGACCTAACATCTTCTCCATTGAGAAATGTGACGGCGTATCCATCGGTCAATGTGACGAAGTACGTCGTGAGAGGGCAATACACACCGATTTCCAATCAATTAAAGAGGCGCGGTTGTCGATTTCCGCCTCAGCGTGAGATTTCACCTAAAAAGATAATAGAGGCGTGTGTATATCATCACTATCGAGGGATGGCATATAATCTTTTAGTGGAGGTACTCTACGAAAAGAACAAGCCGATCGAGATTAGCAGACGACAGGAGTACATGGTGAATTTTCACGAAAGCGACTATTACGATGTATTCAACGATAACGATGACGACGAGATGTTTTTTTGCGCTCATCGCAAGTATTGGAGGAAAAGCGGTGTCGTTTCGTCAGCCGTGTACGAGGAGAAAAAGAAGAGAGCGTGTTGGCAACAATTAGCGCAACTAAGTGTGCGCGCATATAAGTATGTACTATAATCGTAATATAACTATGGATTATATATATGAATATGTATGAGAATAAGATTAATCGCGAGAGAGAGACGGAGTTTTTTCCTCGTTCGTTTGCGTATCGCGGGGGACGAGAAGCGGATCGGCGACGCGCCGAGAGTCTTCAATTAGCGATACCGAGGGTGACGTTATATTATCGGGAACGTATGAGAGACGAGAGATAGGGATCGCGCGAGGAAGAAATCGTCGCACGAGTGTTAATAATGAGAGATTTAATGTGCGATATCAAAGGCAACGATATTGGGAATGTATGAGAGATGGAGGTCGCGCGAGGAGGGAATCGTCGTAGGAGTGTTAATGACGAGAGAATATTTTATTACTCTATTGTTATTATTATTTTATTACTCTATTGTTGTATTATTTTATCAGGCATGTAAAAAGAGGAAAGAGCTTTGTAGGATGTTGCGGTTAGGCACATTCTGTGTCTAGATGATTTCCACGGGGATCTAGCGCATCCTGTTTTCGCTGCAACGGGAAGGCGCGCGTTCTGATTATGTAGGATGCCGCGCGTTTTGTCACTTCGGAATGTCGCGGTTGTCGCGTTTTCGACGCTGCCTCGGGGTATATATCTAGTCGTGAGAGGCATTTTTTCCCATTGTTAAGAACGTATATGGAAGAAGTCGCGCTTAACGATGGTTTGTCTTCGAGCGAGAGCGATGATTCGCTTTTACGCGCGTTCGATCGTAACGTGACGTATCGCGATCTCGACGACGATCGTTGCGAGTTGATTATCGACAGTGACGATAGTTTAGAGTGTTACGAGACTATCGCGCATGGCAACGACGAGGAGTGGATCGTGGCGAGAGAAGATGTTCGCTGGAACGTGGCCACGTATCACTTGCGACGGGGGATCGGTACAGAGAGTCCGCGAGAGAAACTGCGGATCGAAACGTTGCTCGCTCTGAGCGACAGAGCGGTGATCTACGAGAGAACAGCGAGAGAGAGAAAAGTTCGAGACGTTAAATTCGTCGTTCCTACGGACGGTTGGGTTTAACACAGTGTGGGAAGTTGCGATATGGAGAAGAGTCGCGGTCTTCTCAAACGCGCGGCGGGGGTTGAAGGGGTGTGCGCCTATCGTGTTTGAGAACAGGAGTGTATCGAGTGTCTCGAGGTCTTGAGAGATAGATGTGAGAATAGAGTCGATCCTACGGTTACCGGAACGATAAATTCTCTGGTCTCTCGAGTAGCGCAATTGGAGGGTGCGAGATTCGCTTTGAGTCGACGTTTTAGTTACTTGGGTGCAGGATATGAGGGTTATCGTATGGAAGGGATTCGAATGGGTGGATATCGAGACAGCTTTCGCGAATCGCGTACGAACGGGTGCTGTGGTAAACATCGAGTACATCGAACCTCGACGGTTTCTCGAGGACGCGATGACCACGGTGCTCGAGCGAGTGCGAGTCGATCTCGATATGCACGCGTGTTTAAAGGTCAACACCGTGTTTCACGGGGAGTTCGTCGCGAATGATAAGAGCGCTATTAAGAGCATTCGCACGAGGAATTGTCAGCTATTCGGTATGTCCGTCTACGAGAATGGTACGACGGAGACGTTATGAATGTTGTTCTGACATCGCTGGAGGAATTTCAGGAACGCGATAGTGGTTGGGCGTTACTTCGGATATTAAATTTGATGATAAATAAGTGTAATCCTATGCACGCTGGATGTTGGATGTTACATCCTCCGAAGATAAGATATAAGAGAGCCGTGATTAATGTACGTTCACACGACAACGCGTGTTTCGCGTGGGCGGTGATGGTCGCTCTATATCCCGTTGATCTACACTCGGATAGACCGTCATATCTTCACTATTCGTTGGTGCTGAATTTCGATGGTATCAACTTTCCTATGACACTACGAAACATCGCTAGATTCGAACGTCTTAACGATTTGTCTATCAACGTATTTGTCATTCGAGAGAAAACGGGGAGGAACGATATCATGATCGTTCCTTTGTCGCTTACGGGGAACAAAAAGTCTACGCACGTAAATTTACTCTATTTGTCAAATGAGCGGCGATAACGTCGGTCATTTCGTATGAATAAAGCATCTGTCTCGACTGTTAACGTCGCAAATAAACAATAAAATTTTTTAAGGAAAAAAATACATATGCGACCAGTAAGCGTAAGAGAGAGATTATGCTCGTCGCGAGATAAATTTTGTATTAATTATAAATTGTATTTTTTCAGATGTCTACATTATTTTTATTCAGACGAGAAATTGGTCACGCATAGCGTCGAGTGTGGAAGAGCGAACGACTGCGCCGTTATTCTTCCGAGCGAGGACGACAAGTTGCTCTCTTTTCATTATCACGACAGAAAGGAGAGACTACGATTCGTCGTGTATGCAGATCTGGAGTGCATCTTAAAAAAGGGAGATCAACGGTTCAGTGGGAGTCTCGACAATAGATTCGCCTATCAACACCACAAGCGTAGGATATTATTTGCGTAGCACGTACAACGGAATCGTATCCGCGTATAAATCTCGCCAAGGCGACGACTGCGTCTCGTGGTTCGTCGAGAAGCTGCGCGCTCTCGCGTGTCGCATGAAGAAGATTCTGTGCGTGAGCGTACCGATGTCGGAGCTCACGCCGAACGAGCGGATCGCTTTTCAAAAAGCGACAAATTGTCACGTGTGCGGAAGGAGCTTTGAGTCGTACGATATTCGCGTGCGCGATCACTGTCATCTTATCGAACGATACAGAGGACCCGCGCACGCGAGCTGCAATTTGAACTATCAGAACGCGTTCGTTATTCCCGTTTTTTCACTCTTTCAATCTATCCGGTTACGATGCACATTTCATTATTAAGGATATAGCGAACGCTTTCGAGGATAGAATCGATTTGTTACGTTGACTAAGGAGAATTACATTGCGTTTTCGAAAATCGTTAACGATTCGACGTACGGAAAATGGAAAAATTTGAGTTAAGCTACGTTTCGTTTAAGTTTCTCAATACTTTAGGAAAGGTAATTAATTTAAAAAAAGTAGCTTCGTATCTAGATCGGGAAAAATTAAAGATCTCGCGATTCGAATTTTCCGATCTCATCGCGGAGGATTTCGAGTTGCTCACGCGCAAGGGCGTATTTCCGTACGAGTACATCGATAGCGTTCATTGTTAGTGACCGAGTTACCGCCGATCGAAGCCTTTCATAGTTCTTTAACTGGCGAAACTGTGAGCGTTAGTGATTACGAACACGCGCGAAGGATATGGGAGCGTTTTCACGTGAAAACTCTCGGCGAATACAACGATCTATATTTGAAAACGGATGTGCTTCTCTTGGCGGATGTTTTTGAAAATTTTCGAGATACTTGTATGGAAAGTTACAATTGGATCCAGCGCATTATTTTACATTACCGGGATATATGTGGGATACTATGTTGAAATACACGTTCGACTCGATCTGCTTACCGATATCGATATGGTGATGTTCGTAGAGCGCGGTATACGCGGCGGTTTAAGCCAATGCTCGAACAGATACGCGCGAGTTAATAACCAATATGAATCGTCATATGATTCGTCTCAACCATCGTCGTATCTCATGTACTACGATGTGAACAATCTCTACGGCTGGGCCATGTGCGAACCTTTACCGTATGCGGAATTTCGGTGGGTCGAGGATCTCGATATTATGTCCGTGCCATCTGACTCCGATATCGGTTATATTCTAGAAGTCGATCTCGAGTATCCGCGATATCTTCACGACGACCATGCGGATCTTCCGTTCTGCCCGACGCGCGAGAGACCGCCGGGAAATCGAAACGAAAAGCTACTCGCCACGCTCTACGACAAGTCGCGTTACGTGACGCATTATCGCAATCTTCAGCAGTGCGTGCGACATGGTTTACGCGTGACGAAGATCTATCGCGCGTTGCGGTTCGCGCAGTCTCCTTGGTTGCGCGCGTACATCGAGCTCAATATGGAACGGAGAACTCGCGCGAGCAACGAGTTCGAGAGGAATCTGTATAAGCTGATGAACAACGCGGTTTTCGGCAAAACAATGGAGAACGTGCGCAATTACGTAGACGTGAGACTCGTGACGCGTTAGGACGGAAGATATGGCGCGGAGACGCTGATCACGAAACCGAATTTTCACAGTGGAGCGTTTTCGACAAGAATCTCATGGCTATCGAGTTGCGCAAACTCGAGGTTCAGTTTAGCAAGCCAATCTACGTCGGTATGTGCATTCTAGAGATATCCAAGATGCGATTGTATGATTTTCATTATGATTATATAATGCCGCTCTATCGCTCTAAATGCAAAATCATGTACACGAATACCGATAGCTTGATATATTTTCTGGAATGTCAAAACGTTTACGAGAATATGAAGCGAAATATCGCGAGATTCGACACCAGCGATTATTCCGACGACAACGCGATATACCGCGCGTGAATAAGAAGGTTCTTGGTTTGATGAAAGACGAGAACAACGGAGCGATCATGACGGAGTTCATAGGATTTAGGGCGAAGATGTACGCTCTGAGAGTTTTGGGAAAGAGCGATACGAAGAGAATAAAGGGCGTCAAGAGGAGTACCGTCGCGAAAACGATAACGTTCGAAGATTTCGCGCGTTGCTTGAACGAATCGTCGCAGCAATCGAGACGTCAGGCGTGCATACGCTCGATGCTGCACGAGGTTTACACCGTGTCCGAACTAAAGCTAGCTTTGAGTCCTCACGACGACAAGCGATACTTAATATCCGACTCCACCAATACATTACCGTGGAGCCGTTATAAGATATCGTTATTAAATACTAATGTAGTATAAAAAACTTATACCAATGTAGAATAAGTAATACTGTACACTCTTTGTTCTTTACAATACAGCTGTTTTGTGAATCCAAGAGTTATGTGTATTGTCCATTCCTAACCATTTGACAAAAACTCTATCGTTCTTTCTACGTAGCACTTTCTCAACGAGATAGATATCGATATTGGAAAGTCGCAGTAACTCGTGTTCGTAAAACCTTCCGGCTATTGGCTCTTTACGATAGTCTTTCAGCAGATACGTCACGGGATTCGTGTGTTGCACCTTAGCGATTCGAAAAATCTCAGTCGTCCAGTTAGGCTTATATCCCTTTTCGAAAATCGTTTTGAACATGCTGACGCGTACCGGATCGTTCACATTGAATCTTGCGGGGACTGCGATCTTCAAGTGACTGTATATCGTGAAAAGGAGTCTCTTGGCAATGGCTGGAGTTACGTCCGTCGGTCGCATTCCGATCGTTCGATACGTGCGGTTGTTATACTCCGAGATTAAACGCGGTAGAGCGTCGAGTCATCTGTACGATCCGTTGAGCGTGAAGAGCTTCCACACATTGTTCTTGAGCGTGCGATTAAATCGCTCCACAACCGCCGCCTTCATCACCGAGTACGAGTAGTGGCGTATATCGTACCTATCAGTAACCGCTTTTACGGAGGCGTTGTAGAACTCCTTGCCCTTGTCCGTTTGTAGATTTCGCGGATGTCGAGCGTCGTCGCGAAATATCTTGGATAACGCCGCGGCTACCTCGCTTCCGCTCTTGCTCTTCAGCGGCACAGCCCACGCGTACTTGCTCAACACGTCGATGACCGTCATCACGTAGTTGTAGCCTTTGTTTCGTCGCGCGTACGAACGCATCTCGACGACATTGGCCTGCCACAGGTCGTCGTAACCGCGCACCACGACTCGACGACGCGGAAAGTTTCTTCGCGCGGGCGCGTGAAGCTTCTCGATGATTCTCCTCTTCTCGACGCTCATCGCTGATTTTACGAGGAGGCGCGATTCGCGTTGGTTTTATTCGTGCGTGTTTGCTCCTGTTCCTCGTTCCAAACGTTAATCGCGTGTTTTATGGTATTTGGAATATCCATTTTTAGTGCGACTAGTAATTCGTTTATCGTTTCTCTAGTCACTATTTTATCCACGTTCAACGAGGCCAGCGTCTTGTCCAGAGTCTCTCTCGTTACCGCTTTGTCCGTCAGTTCTCTCGCGACTCTCGTCAGATCTGTCACGCTACGCGCGAGATTTTTCACGTTCGTCGATATTCTCTCGCGGCTCGTCGACGACGCGTCGAGCTCGTTTCGCAGGGATTTCTCTAGATTTCGCAATGATTCCTCTAGGATCTGCGTTCGCTTTTCCTGAGCGTCGCCGAGCGTCTCGACGGTCTTTCGGATCTCGCTCGAGTCTCTAGCTCGCACTTTGTCCTGTTTTTCCTCCGTTCGTCCCAGCTCACGTTGAAACATGAGCAGATCTTTAATTCGTTGGTTGTTCCGTTTATCGAGCGCTTGTTTTGTTCCCTTATTCGTTTATCGAGATCGACGAGCGAGGCTTCCCTCCTCTCCTCGATCTGTCGCAGTGATTCCTCTAGATTTCGCTTTCGTTTCTCCTGAGCGTCTCGATGACCCTTCGAATCTCGCTCAGATCTTTCGCGATTCGTCCCGTTTTTCGAGCTCTCGCTCCCGCGTCTCTCGTCTCCTCTATTCGTTTGTCGTGACCGACGAGCGAGGCTTCGCTCTTCTTCTCGAGGTATCGCAGAACGTCCACTTCGGTTTTTACGTCGTAATACTGTAGGAGAATATTCCGAATTCGCTTGTTCATATCTTCCAGCTGTTTTCGTAGCTCGTTCGTTAGAACTTTCGACTCCTCGCTCCTTACGCGAAGCGCGTCGTCGACGTAACCCTTGGTCGTCGCGTTGGCATCGTCGATCGGCGTATCCAAATGGCGTATCTTGCGTCTGTTAACGTCGTAGTCGTCCGGATTCAGGCAAAGCGCGCTGCGACGCACGTACGCTCGCAGGGATGCGATCGTCGAATGATCGTCAACGCGCTGCCTCTCCAGAGACTGGGTCGCCTATGCGAAAAGGGTAAACGACGCGATTTACTTCGATGGTTTTGACAATCTTCGACCGCCGAAGGAACTCGAGAGATATCTCGGCGGCATAAATATAATGTACAATCGCGGATCGTATCAGATGTACGATCAGAGCATTTGCGGTCAGTTGTGCCTGCGATTTCTCTCGAGAATCGGTCGCGATGTCGCTGAGCCTTTCGTTCACCGGTAAGAGTAGCGTTCTCACGATGTGCTATTTTCCCGCTTTAGATCTGAGCGACGACAATTACGAGTTAGGTCTCACGAATTTCGAGACGTACAACACCATCCGACCGAACGTCGATTCCACGAATAATAAGTTCTATTACGACGACAAAACGGTCGTGATTCTCGAGGGTTCGTACGAATTGAGCGCGATAGACAGATATCTGAACGCCTATCTCTAAAAAGCGAAAGATCGATAAAAGCAAAGGGACGAGCGACGATGACGAGAGCGACGACATCGTCTACGACGAGAGCGACGAGGGCGAGAGGGGCGCGCGGTCTCTGATCATTCGAGCCAATGAGAACACTATGGGAAGCGAGATCAGGTGCGAGCATCAAATTGATTTCACGAAACCGAACAACATCGGTTCGCTCCTGGGATTCTCGTCGCGCGTGCTACGACCGAACAAATGGCACACGTCCGACTGACCCGTGAATATCATGGGCGTGAATATCATTCAGGTGGAGTGCAATATCACTGCGGGTGCGTACAGTAACAACGAGCCGGTTCACACGATACACGAGTTTTCGCCGAACGTTCCTCCGGGATATAAACCGGTCGAACGCTCCGACATCGATCATTTACTTTCCGATCATCGCACGTTACTGATATCACGCTCTCGTGGTTCAAGACGGGCGACCGATCGATTTTCGTGGAGAGGAGATAACGGCGCGACTTCACGTGCGACGACGAAGGCATTAGAGAGAAATGCGCGAGAGCGAAAGATGCTCGTTCTGAACGAGTGGTACGCGAGAGGAGGAGGAGACGCTACATCCGCGATCTTACCGCAAAACGACGCGACGAGGAAGGTGCGCGAGGGAAGAGCGAACGAGTTGAACGCCGCGAACGTTGCGTTTTTAAGATCTTTAGGTTTCGTCGTGAAGAATCGACGAGTCGAATGGCGAGCGACATTTTAAGTATCGGAGATGTCCCGATCTTTGACGATCGTATCGTGAGAATAGAAACTCACACTTACAATCCGTACGCTAACACAACGTTCGGATACAGCGACGAGATACGAATACCTATACAGCAACAGGATCTATATATGTTGCCGTGCGAAAATTTTCTATATATCGAGGGAAAATTCGCGACGAGAAAGAGCGTGAAGGAAGGCACGGCGAAGGAAGGCACGGTGAAGGAAGTTACGAGAGCGAAGCTAGTCAACAACTGCGTCGCGTTTATGTTCGACGAGATTCGATACGAGCTCAATGGCGTGGAGATCGATAAGAGCAGAAACGTCGGCATAACGATCTTGATGAAAAACTACGCATCGTTGAGCTACGAGAGAGATAGAGCTTTACAGAACACCGGATGGGAAATATCGCTTATAGCGTTGGACGATTTCAACTTTTGCGTGCCTCTCAACGTACTCCTCGGTTTCTGCGAGAATTACAAACGCATAGTGATAAACGCGCGACACGAACTCATTCTGATACGCGCTCGCAACGATACAATTGCGTCGTGGCGCATTCAGACCAGAGACCGAAGATCTTGTTGAGAATACAGTGGCGAATGCCACACGTGATACTTAATGACATTAACAAACTGTCGCTTCTGCGAACGTTGAACAGTGGACGATATCAGAGCATGGGCTTTTGTTCGTGGGATCTGTACGAATTTCCGCTGTTGCAAAGTACGACCAAGCATTCCTGGGCAGTAAAAGCGGCGATGCAATTAGAGAAACCGCGATACGTGATCTTCGCGCTACAGACCGGAAGGAAAAACGTACCGTCGGAAGAGGTTTCCGACGATTGCAAGCTGATTAATGTAAAACTCTATTTGAATTCTATTCCTACGACGATATGAACCTAGATTTTGAGCACAAGTTCGCTGTGCTGTACAATATGTATCTGAAATTTACGAGTGCGAGACCTGCGAATCATTCATGACTATCAGATTTCTGCAATACGGTCCGCTAGTGGTCATCGATTGCTCCCGCCAGAACGAATCGATCAAGAGCGCCACCGTCGACGTTCGCGTAGAATTCGAATGCAAAGAGAACTTTCCGGCTAACACAACGGCTTATTGTCTCATCATTCACGATAGAGTATAACACACTGACGAACGTCGTACGTAAACTCACGTAATCGCGGTTTTCCTATGAGAACGATGCCGAACGTATCGATCTTCGTCGATCTGCAAGGTTTTACCGTTCAGGAGAAATTTATGGTTAAAGAGGTGGCGATATTAAAAAATGGAAAAGAGCTGACTCATCGAATGTTTCGAGAAGCGATACCCTGGAATCTTCTTACAAAGACGGAAAAATCTAAAGCGTGCTGGATAATCTCCAATCATCACGGCCTACAGTGGAGCGACGGCGACGTACAGCTCTTGAAGCATGTGATTCGAAACGGCGTGTGCGATCAATCGTGAGACGCGCTTAAACTACGTCAAAGGCTTGGAGAAAAAGAAGTGGTTAGAGGAGATTCTCGGCTGCGACGTCATCGCGGACCACGACGTGATCGTCGAGACTATCGACGCGGATTTCGAGGATATAGGGCGCCTAAGCACTCTGGACGATGTTCGAGCATTTCACTGCGAGCATCACGCGAAGCATTGCGCTATGGAGAACGTGTGCAAACTGTACAATTGGTAGTCGAAACGACGGAATGTATCACCGAATTGTAATATCGCGTTAACGACTTATTATCATATGTCAGATTGGTTTTCAATTATTGTATCATATATATTAAATTCAGTGCTTATATATTATAATTAGATTCATTGCTTATACTATAATCGAATTCTTTTATCGCTCGTTATACTTATATACATGCTTGAGGAAATACAAAAACATTTTCTACAATATATCTTTATTTCATCTCAATCTTACATCCCAAAGTACAGAGTAACGAGTTCGCAATCGATAATGTCGTTACGATCGAAGGCATCGCTATCGCGTATGACTCTCGAGATATTTTCCGTATCCTTAGCGGTGAACGCAATATCCTTGAAACGCGCTAATTTCGCATCGATTTTTACTAATATCTTGGTCAACGAGATAACGAGTCGGCTGACGCAATGCTCGAGCTCAAACATGTTATTCACTGTTTCCTTCGACATGGCCAAGCGAGCCGCGGATGTTTCCAGGCGTAATATCGTCAAGTTGTTGATTTTTTCGAAACGCACGGTCATATTTCCA